GGGGGGGGGGGGGTTCTGTTGTTGAAATGTCATTCTTTTGGAGGACCTCTATAACGCTATCCTGCCAAGTTTTGCGTGGTCTGCACCTGCCCTTGTATCCGGACAGAATAGAGTTGTAAGCTTGTGAAGTTGGTTGATTTGGTGACAATCTCATCAGGTGACCGAACCACTTCATTCTTTGATGTTCTTGTTCCATAACCGGTTTATTCCCTGTCAAATTTCGTTTATCAGTTTTTCGTCTTCCTGTTATATATCGTAAGTCAGTGTTAGAAGGAATATGCTATGAATAATTAAGTCGTTGTCTTTTTACTTCCATTGGTAGGTGTTTATGGGTGAGTAGTGCTGACAATTTATAGGTTTCTGCATTTGCTTTTGGGTCCTGATTTCAATTTTCCTATGTCCAATCTTCCGTCATGTGTAAGCATGCTCCCAAGCTATTTAAATTCCTCAACTTGTTTAAGTTGTGTCCCGTCGATGGTGATGTTTAGTAGTGGGACTGGGTTTAAAATATGATCACACGATCCGTGCTTGCTGGCATGTTTGGGCCAAACTTGAGCAGGAATAACCTTCAGATGAAAATAATGCATAAACGACGCGTCAGCTGTCACGTCTGTGTTATCACAAATCTTGCACGCACAAGTGTTTGTATCTGATTATTAAATATCTTCCGCCGCCAAAAGCTTCTTGTAAAACAAATGTAATGTTTGAACCGGTCTGGTACTGTCTGTACAGATGTTCTACGATGTCATTCAACAAACGTTTTTGGGTTTTTAAAAAATCTCTTTCAAGGTAACAATATTTTCAAACTTCAAAATTCCCGGGTTGTCGGGCCAAAGGAGAAAAAAAATCCTAAATGTGCACTTTATCTGTGTGCAGAGTTGAGAGCACTTTTTTCTTCAGTTTCCTTTTGTTCTTTCTGTTGTGAGTTTTACCAAATTAAAATTTGCTCTGGATTTTGTACTTTCTTAATATTTCTCCAGAAGCCAACATTCGAATACTTTTTGTTTTTGTTTTTCTTGTATCGGTCTTTCAATTCATCCAGGAGAGGAAAAGGAAATTCCAGCATTCTTTTCACTGCCTTCTTGCTCTGAGAAAAGGTTTTCATTTTCAACTTTAATTTTCTTTTTCTCAGCACTGTTTTCATTGCAAACCTACATTTTAGTCTAGAAAAAAATAACACACTTAGGGTTGGAGCATCTGTTGTTTTGTCATCAGCACTGTTTGATTTTCTCTTCATATTTGTGTCTTTCTTCGTTTTTCTCCATTCCATACATGCTGCCCTACGTTCTCTTGAAATCATACATACGACAGGTTTCCTTTCCCTTTATTTTTTGTCTTTGTTGCAGTTCTTCATTTCATACTGCATGTCGTGCAGTGTCTCCGCTGGGTTCTTCTTTCGCCTCTCTCTATCTCTCCTTTATTACTTTTTTCAGCAGGAGTCAGCTTTCTTTTGTTTGTTTTTTGTTGTTTTTTTGGTAAGTGTTTTACGGCGCTCGCAACTGCATAAGGTCATATGAGCGCGCGGAACACACCTAATATTTTCAGTTGGTAGGAAATTTTGAATCTTGCCCGGGTGGTGGCCGAAGCCCACTCTTATCGATTTTAGACCACCAAGGGATCTTTAACGTGCGCAACTTGCACACGGGCCCTCCGAGATTTTTCGCCCTTGTCCGAGAAGGCTAGGTGTAGAT